CCCCAGGGTCTCTTGGCCCCATCTCCAGGTGCTCTGTCCTTCTCCCCAGGCTCTAATCATTCTCTCTCCCCCCGGCCCCAGCATGGAGCCAATGTGAACGCACAGATGTACTCGGGCAGCTCTGCCCTCCACTCAGCCTCAGGCCGAGGCCTCCTGCCCCTGGTCCGGACTCTGGTTCGGAGTGGGGCTGACAGCAGCCTCAAGAACTGTCACAATGACACCCCCCTCATGGTGGCTCGAAATCGACGCGTGAGTCTTCCCTGGGCCTTGAACTGGGGACCTGTGGAGCACAGAGAGAGAGAGTCAGCCAGCCAGACACAACAGGGTGGCTGCGGGGAGGACAGCCAGTGGAGAAGGGCAGAGAGGTGGAGAGGATGGACACACACAGATGCAGAAGGGGGTAGAAACAGGGGAGAGGCAGAAATGGGGGTGGGGGTGGGCAGAGAAGAAAGGTAGGGACTGAGGCTGGGTCTTGGTGAGCCAGACCGAGCTGGACTTTGGGGAGGTGGGGGTGGGGAACCTCGTATCTAGCAGCTGCCAAAGGTGTGGTAGGCTGGAGTTGGAGAGGACAGCTGCGGTCCGAGGTCCTCCTGTGAGTCACGACCTCTTCCCTTTTCATCTCTCTTCCCCAAAGGTCATCGACATCCTGAGAGGGAAAGCTTCCCGCCCCAGCCCCCAGCCCACGCTGGGGCCAACAGAGCCCAGCCAAGAGGGAAGCACCCCCATCTCTCCTGAAGGTAGCAGCCAGTTTGGATCTAGTGGTGAGAACCCTCAGGGCCCCAGGCATCCTGAGAGCCTTGCCTCCTTCCCTTCCAGATTCCCCGGTCCCTGCTCTAGCCCTTGGTGCCTTCAAGGCTATCCCAGGCATCTGGACCTCCTGATTAAGTAGCCAGATGCCTGTCCTGCCATCCCACGGTCCCGGGAATTCTGATCCTCCAGATCAGGGGTGGGGAACCTGCACCCTCAAGGTTTTGCCCGAGTCCAAGTTTTACAGAACAAATCCTTTTATTGAGGGGATTTGTTCTGTGAAGTTTGGATTCAGTCAAAGGGCCACACTTGAGGACCTAGAGGGCCACAAGTCCCCTACCCCTGGCCCACACTCTTCTCCACTCAGAGAACGGTGTGCCCTTCCTCTCCTCATAGCTCTCTTCTCTTCCAGGGCCACCATCAGCATCTCCGGCTTCCTCCTCGCCACCCCGCTCTCCCCCTGAGGATCCCCCCACTTCACTCCAGGGCCCCCAGATATTCTTCCTGCCAACCCAGTCCCCGACAGCGTTTCTTCCCTACACAGGGCCTCTCCGAGCCCCAGGCCGGCCTGTCCCCCCATCCCCTGCTCCTGGTGGGAGCTGAGGGAAAAGGGAGGAAGGCCTCTGGTATAAAGGGAAGGGCCCCCTGAAAACTGTGAAGGCACATGTCCCCCTTCCTACTGAGACTCACAGGACCAAGGTTTGCACACACCCCCACCTCAAACTTCCTCCCACTCTCCCTCCCTGGCTCTGACCCTCTGCAAGGGGAACTGGGCACCTGGCTGGCACAACCCCCTGCCTGCGCCCTCCTCATTCCCCCCCACACTCTCTGTCTTCGGCACCACCCCAGGGCTCAAGCTCTGGCTACCTCCCTGGGGCTGAGGACAATGTAAATTATTGGGGATTTCAGTTTACTTTTGTAATAAACTATTTTTGTATCATATGGACTCTGTCCGTGTTTGTGTGCGTGCCTGCATGCACAGCGTGTGTGTGTGTGTGTGTGTGTGTGTGTGTGTGTGTGTGTGATGGGCAGGTATGGCCCAAAGAGCCCAGTACAGGGGCAGCTAGGTGGCGCAGTGGATAGAGCACCGGCCCTGGATTCAGGAGGACCTGAGTTCAAATCTGGACTCAGACACATAACACTTACTAGCTGTGTGACCCTGGGCAAGTCACTCAACCCCATTGCCTAGCTAAAAAAAAAACAAAGAGCCCATTACATAGAGGCAGGAGTCCTGCCTGGTCCTAGCTCCTCTCTTGTTTCCCATTAGCTGTGAAACCTGGGACCACTTGGAAAGACAGCTCACTATTGGACAGGGTGCTGTCCCTGGAGTCCAGAGAGACCTGGGTGTGAATGAATCCCAGCGGGGTGACCTCTTTAACTCTCAGAGGCCTCCACTATATACTAGAACTCCCCAGGCCTGGGGTGATGCCAAGATGGCAGAGTGGATGTGAGACCCAATGGAAATGTCATTTCTCATCGCTATGCCCCCTACCCCTCTCTGAGTCTCAGTTTCCTGCCTAGAAAATGATGCTTACATGGCCAGTCTCGTCAGGATGCTGTGGGGAAAGCACTTGGTAGAAGCCCAGGTGGCAGGTTGGTGGATGGTTGGGATTGTGCTGGCGACAAGAGTGTCCTGGAATGAGTGTTGCGCCCGCCTTTGGGTCCCGCCTCTCAGACCTGGACTGGGGTTAGGGCACACCAGAGCCCCCAGAGTCCTGTCCTCAACCTGCTCCTGGGTGTGATCTTAGGAAAGCACATCCCCCTTCTGTCCAGTGAGGAAACTGGAGATCTTCAAGACCCCTCCCACATCTTAGTTTTTTCTTCCAACTCTGACATTCTGTGTTCTAAGTTCCCTCCCAGCTCTGACATTCACTGTTCTAAGGCTATACATTTAGGAGCAGAAAGGGACCTTATTAGGTCATCCAGTCATGGTACAGATGAGTAAACAGGGAGAGTAGAATGCCCTGCCCAAGGCTAGCAGTCAGGGGAGTTCAGTCCCTAAAGGAGCTAGTTTCTCTTTCTGGGCCTTAGTTTCCCCGGCTGTACAAAAAGGTCCAGATGGTCTTCATTGTCCTTTCACCAAAGACATTCTATGATTTACCCCTCTCTTTGTCAGGGATGGCCCCAGGTTCCCATCTAGACTTCTCAGGTAGACGTTCAAGGCCTCCACACACCTCTTGTGTTCCACCAGGTCAAGCTTCTCCACAAAATGGGTGCTCCTGTCTTTGCCCGGAGTCAAGGGTGGGTTACCTGTGGCCTTGAGGCCACACGTGGCACTTTGGGTCCTCAAGTGCAGTCCTTTGACTGAATCCAAACCACAGAACTAATGCCCTTCATAAAAGAATTTGTTCTGTAAAACTTGGACTCGATCAAAAGGCCGTACCCAAGGACCTATAAGGCCACATGGACCTCAAGGCCATGGATTCCCCAACCATGGCCCAGACTATTCTTGCCTAACTGAAAGGCCCTCCCCATCCCCTTCCCTTCTCCTACCCACCCCACTCTCCTTCAGGGGCCAGCCCAGCTCTTTGCCTCTTCCAGACAGTCCCTCCTGTTCATCTCTAGCCACATGGGAGCCTCCACAGGGATGAGTCTGTCCCCTTCTAGAAGTCCTGCTCCCCTCCTGCCCAGGGCTAAGGTTATATAGCCTATGTCTGTCTTCCTCAAAGGGCCTCATCCACTTGGGACTCTTTGGAAAGGATTGTTGAATGGCTCTGTCTGCCTACATGTGTGACTCTGTGTATGTGGAACCTCGTGTCTATGTATGACATGTGTGTAAACACATCGCTGGATCTAATGGGTGTGTAACTCTGGGGACAGAAAAGATGGGACCTTGTGTCTGTCTCATTTATTTGTTAAATTCTTACTATGAGCAGGTCATCTGGTAAATGCTGAGGATTCAAAGAAAAGGCGTAAACAGTCCCTGCCCTCATGAAGCTGACATTCTAACAGGAGCAGATAACAAATACAAATAAATCCGTACATGGTAAATTCCAAACAGATGGGAGGGGGCCTCAAAGGGGAAGGGACCAGCAGCTGAGAGGTCCAAGAAAAACCTCCTGGGCTGAAACTAAAGGCAGTAGAAGATTCCAAAGAGCAGGGATGGGGAGACAGAGTGTTCCAGGCATGGGCAACAAGAGCCAGTGCAAAGGCATGGAGGTGGGAAATTAGAGATAGAGTATCCGGTGTGAGGAACAGCAAATAGGAGAGTGTGATTGGATCACATAAGACTTGGAGTCAAGAAGACCTGAGTTCAAATCCTCCCTCAGGCACTTCCTACCTGTGTGACCATGGGCAAGTCATTTAACCTCTGTTTGCCTCAATGTCCCCAAATGTAAAATGGGAATAATAATATATCAATGATATGAATATTTATAATAATAATAATAATATACTACTAATATATGTTAACTCCAGTGAGTTAACCTAGCACTTTACAATCCTTAAAGCATTAAAGAAATGCTAGCTATTATTATTATTATTATTATTGCTGTCAATAAACAAGCATTTGTTTATTTTTAAAGGTTTGTTGTTGTTGTTGGGTCATTTCAGCTGTGTCTGACTCTCCATGACCCCATTTGGGATTTTCTTGGCAAACACACTGGAGTAATTTGCCATTTCCTTCTCATTTGACAGATGAGGAAACTGAGGCAAACAGGGGGAATTGACTTGCCCAAGGTCGCACAGCTAGGAAGTGTCTGAGGCCGAATTTGAACTCACAAAGATGTGCCTTCCTGACTGCGGGCTGGGCACTCTATCCACTGTGCCACCTAACTGCCCCTTTTTCTTTTTAAATTTTATTTTATTTTCAATTCCAAATTATCTCCCTCCCCCACATATTAAGAAGGCTCATTATACATATGAAGTCATGCAAAACATGCCATTGGCCATGATTACAGCCCTTACTGCCCGCCCATCACCGCATGTCTGACTTTGGGATTGTGTGCACGGCTGTGTTGGCGTGCATCTGTGTGGATGTGAATGGGGAGGGCTGAGGACTGTGTCTGCCTGTGTGGGACTGGGTACCTACATGGCTGTGGATGGGACAGCTATAGACACGCATATGTGTGTATGCTTACACGTATAGCCTTGTCAGTATCTGTGTGTGCACGGGGCCGCTGATGTCTCTGGGTTTGAGTATCTCTACATGGCTGTGTCCAGATGTGGGCTGGTATATGCGACTCTGCCTTTGCGTGTCTATAATCTTCAAGTGCCACAATGTATCACAGTGTATGTCTGTGTGGGTGGGGAGATGTGTCTTTGTGGAACTGTGTGCCTCTGGGTGTGACTAGTGTAGGTATCTCGGAGCCCCTAGGTGGCGCCATAGTACATAGAGTGCTGGGGGCCTAGCGTCAAGAAGACTCCTGAGTTCAAATCCAGCCTCAGATGCATACTAGCTGTGTGACCCTGGGCAAGTCACTTCACCCTGTTTGCCTCAGTTTCCTCATCTGTCAAATGGGGACACTGGAGAAGGAAATGGCAAACCACTGCAGCATCTCTGCCAAGAAAACCCCAAATGGGGTCACAGAGAATCAGACATGACTGAACAACAACATTTTATGTTATCAGTAGGTCTCAGTATGTACTGATACAGACAAGGACAGCTTGAGAGACAGGGTGGGATGGTGGTTAGAGAGTCCTCCGGGAACAGGCGGGTTTAAGTCCAGTCTCTGAAACGTGCTGACTGGGTGACCCTGGACAGGTCATTTAACCTCTCAGTGCCTCAGGCAGCCCTTTGAGTGAGCGGAGACCTGCCTTGGTAGAGGGAGTTTCCTCACATGGAAGTTCCCAATGAAATCACAAGTCCACTACTTATCCACAGCTTTGAAAGCTATGTGTTGAATTTATTAGATATTTAAAAGGAAAACCAAGGTGTGTGTAATAAGAGTTTCACAGTTTCACAGACAATCTTCTTTTCTTTTTCTACTTTGTGGAAATGTTCATATGAGAAGAGGTGGGACAGGAGTGGGGGGATTTGGGTTGGGGGGGTAGGGATGCCAGGAGAAAGGGAACAAGCATTTATTGCCTACTATGTGCCAGGCACTGCACTAATTGCTTAACAATTACTATGCCGTTTGATCCTCACAACAACCTTGGGAGATAAGTAGTCTTATCATCCCCATTTGACAATTGGGGAAACTGAGGCAGACCGTAACCATGTGACTTGCCCAGGATTACACAACTAATAAGTGACTGAATCCAGATTTGAACTCAGATCTTCCTGGCACTGGGCACAGAGCTCAGTCTACTGCTCTAAATATATATATATATATATATATATATACATATATTTTAAATAATAAAAAATATGTGTCTCTGTTTAGGAGGGAGACTGTGTGTGATTCTGCAGTAGCAGACTGCTTAGTGTCCCTGTCGCCAGTCTCTCCCCACTCCATTCCATCCACCACTCAGCTCGTATGATGGTCTCACCATGTCACTCTCTACCTAATAAACTCCAAGGACTCCTTAATATCTTTAGTATCAATTATAAAATCCTCTGTTTGGTTTTTAATTATTGTTCAGTCATCTCAGTCGTGTCTGACTCTCCATTTGGGGTTTTCTTGGCAGAGATACTGGAGTGGTTTGCCATTTCCTTCTTCAGCTCATTTTACAGATGAGGAAACTGAGGCAGACAGGATTGAGAGACTCGTCCGGGGTCCCGCAGCTAGGAGGTGTCTGAAGCTGGGCTTGAATGCAGGAAGGTCTTTCCCAACTTCAGGCCAGGCACTTTATGCCCTGTGGTGACACACAGTAGGCTCTTAATCAATGTGTATTAACTAATAGACTTTGTGGCTGTGTCTCCCTGTGTGAGTAGGTCCCAAGTCTGCATGTGTGTGTGCCCGTGTGTTTACATGTGACTGGATGTAACTTTGGCTATCGGCTCTGGTTGCTTTTGTAGTATCTGTAAGTGTGGGACTGTGTGTGTGTGTGTGTGTGTGTGTGTGTGTGTGTGTGTGTGTGTGTGTATGTGGATGCTCACACTCAAGGTCCTCTTTTCCCCTGAGAGGGCCATGGAGCGGGATGGGAGGAGGGTGGGGAGCCTCCTGCCCTGACCATCTTCCTTGGCCCCTGCTGGACTGAGAGCTGGCAGGGAAGGTTGGGCAGGAGGGACCACAGTGCCCCCTTGTGGCCACCAGCCCTGGCCTGCTGCTGCCCCACCTAGGCTCCTCTTAACTGGTTCCACCAGTTCAGAGTCTGGACTCCCCTCCCCCATGCACACCTCCAGCTTGGAAGAAACTGGGCCCCTGCCCCACCCTGCCCAGCCCCACCCCTTCAGCATACCTGCCCCCTAACCTCTGCTCACAGAGCCTTGGCTGGCCCTCTGCGGACCTCAGCTCCTGAGACCTCAGGTCAGCTCGTCTCAAGAACCCAGGGGCTCCCGTGTCCTGCTCTGAGCTCCCTCTGAAACCCAGGGGCCTACCATCCCACCTTGCTCCCTATCAGGAGTCCAGGCACCTGGGTCCTCAGGCCTGCTGCCACGTGGGCCTCAGACCTTCAGACCATCTTCCTCTTGGCCTCTCCTGGACTCCAGCATCCAGGGCACTGGACATTGTCCTCAGGAAGCCAGGTGTTTTACCCTACCAGTGCCTGCCTCCACCCTCCCCTTCCTGCCCACACCCTTGGGCGGGCATTTCTCAGCCTTCTTCCTCCCAGGGCTTAGCTCTCCATGGCCTCCTCAGGCTGGCCAGGCTTGGCCCGGGGTCCCCAGGGGGAGAAGAAGGCCTTGGCCCGGGCTCTAAGGGCACTAGGGCATCTGGAATCTATCCTGTGCCGAGCCCCCCACCTGGATTCCAGCCCCCCCTCCTTGCCTGACCTGCTCCCACAGATGGCCAGGCTGCTGCAGCAGGTGGCTGAGGCCAGGAAGCAGGCGGCAGGAGGGCTCCAGGAGCCCGGGGGGGCCGCTGATTTCCTAGCTGGCTTCCTCACCAACCTGGGCCAGAAGGTGCAGCAGGCAGCCATCCTCTTCCCTGCAGGGGACAAGGCCCTCTGGGAGGGCCCTAGCCACAGGTGAGGAGGGGGGAGGGCTGACTCCCCATCCCCATCTCCAGGGCTCAGCCCCCTATCTCCAATCCGCCCAGAGTCAGCTGCTCCAACTGACACTGGCCAGGTTGGACCAGTCCAGGGGCCCGCGCCAGGGAGACCAGAGGGATTGGTTTCCACGCCCCCTACCCTCCTTTGTGGGTCCTCTATAGACCCTAACCCTAGGGGGCAAAAGAGATGCTAGCTGACCATCGTAGGCCTTACCAACCACGTCCCCTGGGGGGTTAGAATCCCCGATCTGATTTGGGAGGGACCAAGGAAGCAGCAGGCAGCTGGGTGGTGCTAATGGACAAAGTTCGGGGCTCGGTATGAGGAAGTTCAAACCTGCCCATCAGGCTTTTATGTGTGACCCTGGACGATTCACTTGACCTCAGTTTTCTCATCTGCAAAATGGGGGTAATAACACACCACCCTCTCAAGGTTGTTGTAAACATGAGCTGAGAGGAAATCTGTAAAGCGCTTAGTAAGCTTTCAAGGGCTTTGTAAATGTTTTTGCGGTTCCGGGATTTTTCAGTTGTGCCTGACTGTCCATAATTCCATTTGGGGTTTGCTTGGCAGAGATACTGGAGTGGCTTGCTATTACTTTCTCCAGCTCATTTTACAGATGAGGAAACTGAGGCCAACAGGGTGAAGTGACTTGCCCAGGGTCACCCAGCTAGGAAGAGTCTGAGGCCGGATTTGAACTCAGGAAGCTGAGTCTTCCTGACTCCAGGCCCAGCGCCCTGCGCACTATGGCGCCCCCTAGCTGCCCCACATAAATGCTAACTACTATCATGACTACTCAGAAACCATTGGGTCCCCTCTACCACATCCCTGAAACGTGGTCATGCAACCATGGCTGGAAGCCTTTCACTGACAGGCAGCTCACTACCTGCAAAGGCCACCTCGTCCGCTTGTTCATTCCTCTTCCTTAGCTCCTTGGTGCCACCTCCCTAGTTGGGGGGGAGGGGAGGGAACCCACACAGAGAATGGGCCTAATTTCTTGGTTGACTGATAACCCCAACCCCCAAGCTTCTTTCCTCTATCCCCAGTTCCCTCAGCTGACCCTGGTAAGCCAGGCCCTCTAGTCCTGCTTCCCCATAGCCCCTCACCTCGCTCCATTCATACTCCAGATGGGGGCTAATCTGGCCAGAGTGCAGGGACAACTGTCACCTCCCCCACTCTGGATGCCAGGAGTATCTTGAGAGAGCAACTGAGAGAGAACTGGCCTCCGAGTCAGGAAAACCTGGGTTCAAATCTCCCCTCTGACACATCCTAGCAGGTCAATTCACCTCCCTGTGCTTTGGGCAACTCCGAGCCCCTTGAGAGGCAGAGGATATGCGGGGCTGCGTGGTCGAGGGAGTATGTTCATTCCTGTACTAGTGGCTTTATCCCAAATGCATTGGTGGCTCATCCGGGGGGCCCTACAGACTGTCCTGGTGATCTTCTGGACCCTGTCATGAGGACTCCCACACATCTCACCCAGGGAACCCTAAGGGTTGTGGTACTTCCTGAGGACCCTCGGGTAGGGAGGGGTGTCTGGTCAGGGATGTGGGGGCAGCAGGGTTCTCATGACTTCGCCGTGGCCTTTCCCCAGGAGGCAGCTGACCAAGCTGGCCCTGATCTTCAGTCACATGCTCACAGAGCTCAGAGCCCTCTTCCCTGACGGTCGCTACTACGGACACACGTACCAGCTTAGCAAACCCCAGGCTCAGGAATTTTGGAGAGAGAAGTGTGGAAAGAGGTGAGCCACGGTGGACCCCTCCCTCCTCAACACAGCATCCAGCCATCTCACCACCATCTCACCACTATTCCCATCACCACACAAGGCAACTCAAGGGCCCTTCTGTCTAGCCCCCCATCTCTTGTCACCCTCTGGATCCAGGTGACAGTTATAAAATGTCAGTGTCAGAGCTAAGAGGGTCCTTAGACATGGAAGGTCAGGACTGGGAGAAGCCTTAGAACGGAGAATGTCAGAGCTAGAAAGGCCCTTAGGACAAGGGATGTCAGAGCTGGGAGGGCCCTTAGAACAGGGAATGTCAGAGCTGGGAGGGCCCTTAGAACAGGGAATGTCAGAGCTAGAAAGGCCTTTAGGACAAGGGATGGGAGAGCTGGGAGGGACCTTAGAACAAGAGACATCAGAGCTGGGAGGGCCTTTAGAACAGGGAATGTCAGAACTAGAAAGGCCCTTAGGACAAGGGATGTCAGAGCTGGGAGGGCCCTTAGAACAGGGAATGTCAGAGCTGGGAGGGCCCTTAGAACAGGGAATGTCAGAGCTGGGAGGGCCCTTAGAATAAGAGACGTCAGAGCTGGGAGAGCCCTCAGGCCCCATCTGGCCACATCTCTTTTTAAAGGTGGTCAGCTGAAGCCCAGGGAGGTGCCCACTACCCTTTTCCCCTTCAGGACCTTCAATCCCTACCCTCAGATGGTGCCATGGTGCTTCTGAGCCAGGGAGGAGGTAGGGGCAAGCTTGTCTCTCTGACCTCTTAGGTGTGTGGTTCCATGGGAAGAATTTGAGAAACTTCTGAGCTCCTGCCACCCTGTGGTGCCTGGTCCTATGGCCCAGGCCCTGAAATCCACCATCGACTTAACCGTCAGCGGCCATGTGTCCATCTTTGAGTTTGACGTCTTCACCCGCCTTTTCCAGGTCTCCAGAGGGCCTGGGGGTCAGATGGACCCTAAGGGCCTAGGGTCCAGGATGCTTGAGTCCCTGAGTGGGTTAAGGGATCAGGACACCTGGGTCCCCAAGAAGAGAGGAGGGATCCAGATGCTTAGATCCCCGGGGGGACGAGAGTTGGGAGATCAAGGTGCCCGGGTTCCAGAAGAGAGTGAGGGCTGGGGGATCAGGATGCTTAAGCCTCTGAGGGGCAAGGAAGGCCCCCTCCTCTTACATCTATATTCCTTCCCAGCCCTGGTCCTCTCTCCTCAAGAACTGGACCCTCTTGGCTGTTACTCACCCCGGCTACATGGCCTTCATCACCTATGCAGAGGTGAAGGCCCGCCTGCAGAACTACCTGGACAAGCCTGGCAGGTGGGGGCTATCGGGGAGGGGACAGGGCAGGGAAGATTGGGGGGGTACACTGGGGGTATGGGGAGGTCCCTAGACAGGGCCAGGACTGCGAGGCCCTGCTGAGCCTGACCTTTCCTCCCCTAAGCTACATCTTTCGCTTGAGCTGCACCCGCCTAGGTCAGTGGGCCATTGGCTACGTGAGCAAAGACGGCCAGGTCCTGCAGACGATCCCTCTGAACAGGCCACTTTTCCAGGCCCTGAGAGAAGGCCAGAAGAAAGGCTTGTGAGTCCTGACCCTGACCCTGACCTGCACTGCAGGCCCCCATCCTTCCTCGCTCCTCTCTCCGGCCCCCTTCCTCTAGAAAAGGAAAGTGGGGCACCAGACGATCTCTGGGATTCCTCCCACTTCAGACATTCTGTGGCTGCTGAGTGACTGTGGATAAGTCACTTCCCCACTGGGGACCTAATTTCCTCCACTGCCAAAGGGAGGCGTTGGCTTGCGTTTCTCACTGGCCTTCCAGCTCAGAGCTCTACTGAGATCCCCTTTCTCCCTTAGCCCTTATCCGGCTACCATTTGCAGCAACCTCCACCAGAGGGCAGACTTCTCCACTCAATCCTAGGACTGCGTCTATCAGATCCTTATTTGAGCTGCCCTCAGTTCCCTTCTCCGTTAAAGGAGGAGGCCAGGACAAATGACGTCCAAGGCCCCTTCCACTCTCTGACCTTAAGTCTCCCTACTGCCAGTCCGGACTTTCTTTGTTCTAAGGGCCCTTCTTATTCTAATAGTCTATGATCTAGGCTGCCTTCCAATCTCAGGCACTCCATATGCCCAGCTGTGTGACCCTGGGCAAGTCCCTTCACCTCTGTCTTCCTCAGTTTCCTCATCTATCAAATGGAGATAATGATAGGACCTAATCTCTCAGGATATATGGTCTCATAGTATATGTGATCAAGGTTTAAAATGAAATAATATGAAATATTTTTGCAAAACTTGAAGCACTATATAAATGCTAGATTCTGTTATCATCATCATTGCTCAGTCGTTCGGTGGTGTCCAACTCTTTGTGACCCCAAAGACTATGCATGGCATGCCAGGCCCTTCTTTCCTCCACACTCTCCCAAAGTCTGTCCAAGTTCATGTTCATTGTTTCCATAACACCATCCAACCATCTGATCCTCTGCTGTCCCTTTTTCTTTTTGTCTCCAATCTTTCTCAGTATCAGAGTCTTTTCCAGTGAGCCCTATCTTCTCATGATGTGGCCAAAGTATTTCAACTTCAGCTTCAATATTTGGCCTTCCAGTGATCAGCCTGAATCAATTTCTTTAAGCATTGAATGATTTAATCTCCTTGCTGTCCAAGGGACTCTCAGAAGTCTTCTCCAGCCTCACAATTCAAAAGCATTGATTCTGGGGCACTCAGCTTTCCTTATAGCCCAACACTCAGAGCCATATGTTACTGCTGGAAAAACCAGAGCTTTGACCATACAGACCTCTGTCAGCAAGGTGATGTCTCTGCTTTTCAGTGTGCTGGCCAGATTTACCATAGCTTTTCTTCCAAGGAGTCTTAATTTCATGGCTGCAGTTGCCGTCTGCAGTGATCTTTGAGCCCAGAATACAAAATCTGACACTGCTTCCGTTTCTTCTTCCTCTATTTGCCAGGAAGTGATGGGATCAGTTACCAAGATCTTAATTTTTTGATGTCAAGCTTCATAGCAGCTTTTACACTCTCTCTTTCACCCTCGTCAAAAAGCTTCTTAATTTTTCTTCATTTTCTTCCATCAGAGTGCTATCATCTGCATATCTGAGATTGTTGATATTTCTCTACCACCCTGGCATTTTCTATGATGTACTCTGCATATATGTTAAATAAATAATATGACAATATACAGCCTTGTCATACTCCTTTTCCGATCAAACCAATCAGCTGTTCCATGTTCGGTTCTAATTGTTGCTTCTTGGCCTGAATACAGGTTCCTCAGGAGACAAGTAAGATGATCTGGTACTCCCATCTCTTTGAGAACTTGCCACATTTTGTTGTGATCCACACAGTCAAAGGTTTTAGTCTAGTCAATGGAGCAGAAGTAGATGTTTTTCTAGAACTCCCTTACTTTCCCCATATTCCAGCAAATGTTGGCAATTTGGTCTCTAATTCCTCTGCCTCTTTGAGAACCAGCTCGCTCTTCCATTAATTCTTGGTTCACATATTGCTGAAGCCTAGCCTGCAGAATCTTAAGCATATCGTTGCTGGCATCATTGTTTGGTAATTTGACCAACCCTTGGCATTGCCCTTCCTTAGGATTAGGACATAATTTGATCTTTTCTGATCCGGTGGCCTCCGTTGAGTTTTCCAAATTTGCTGACATATTGAATGCAGCACTTTAAGAGTATCATCTTTCAGGATTTTAAACAGCTCAGCTGGGATTCCATCACCTCCACCAGCCTTATTGCTAGCAATGCTTCCTAAGGCCCACTTGACTTCATTCTCCAGGATGCCTGGCTCCAGATCAGTAACCACACCATCATGGTTATCGGGCATGTTAAGGTCATTACATCATTCTATTTTCCCTTTAAAGTACCAACATTTCTTATTCTAAGGACCTTCCCAGCTCTGACATCCTCTGTTCTAAGTTCTTTTCAAGCTAGGACATTCTGCATTCTAAAGGCCCTCCAACCTCAGTTCCAATGTTCTCCCCTAGCCCTCCCACTCTAAATATCCAATAGCTTCCTGGGACTGTCTCTCTGGAGCTCTGAATCTGCTCACTTCCTCTGCGGATGGGTCACTCTGTGGGCCAGCGTTTCTCCTCTTGGCTCAAGAGCACCGGATGCCTCAGACTTTGTGAGGCACAAAGTTAAACACCTACCCTCAAAGACCCCCCACTCTGACAATGCCCTTGGCAGGGGAGGGCTTGGCCGGTCCAGGCTGACATCCTGGAGGAGGACATTGTGAGTAGAAGGAGAAAGATGCTAATAAGCAGAGAAGAGACAGAAGGGTTGACCTGGAATCAAGTACGCCCAGGCTGTGCTTGATAGGAAGGGAGGCTAGGAATTGTTTGTGAATTCTCCTCATTCCTCACCCCCATGAATGCTGCACCGTCATGTCCCCTCAGTTACCTCTATCCCGATGGGAGGAATGTGAATCCAGACCTGTCTGAGCTGGCAGAAATAAAGGACCACAGACACATTGAGGTCTCACAGGTAAGCTCCCCCGTTTATCATCCCCCTGCTATCCCACCTGCCCCAGAATCAGTCAGCAGTGACCTCTCAGTCATCTGCACAGCCCTGATGGTTCTGACCAGTCTCTCCCTTTTCCTGTAGCCCTCCTTTTTAGTGTTGGAGCTAAAAGGTCTTCAGAGTATAGAATATGGAATGTCAGAGTTGGGAGGGACCTTAGAACAGGGAACGTCAGAGCTGGGAGGGCCTTTAGAACATGGAATGTCAGAGCTGGGAGGGCCTTTAGAACATGGAATGTCAGACCTGGGAGGGCCTTTAGAACATGGAATTGTCAGAGTTGGAAGGGGTCCTTAGAACAGGGAATGTCAGAGCTGGGAGGGCCTTTAGAACATGGAATGTCAGAGTTGGAAGGGGTCCTTAGAACAGAGAATTTCAGGGCTGGGAAGGCCCTTAGAACATAGAACATGAGTTGTCAGAGCTGAAAGAGTTCTCACTAATTAATCAGTGGGCATGTCTATAGCCCCTCCATATACCACGCCCCTGTGCTGGGGTTACAAAGACAGAAATGCAGCCTTTCTCATCCTCAGACTCACATTCCTTTACGGCAGACAATATGTTCTTAAATAATATGCAAATGATTACAAGGCACACTGGGGTGGGGAGGAGCACCAGCACCTGGGGGTGGGAGGAGGAAGAGAATAATAATAATAATAGTAATAATAATACTTGGGCAGCTTGGTGGCACAGTGGATAGAGCGCTGGGCCTAGAATCTTAAGAAGAGCTGAGTTTAAATATGGCCTAGGACACTTCCTAGCTGGGTGACCCTGGGCAAGTCACTTAACCTCTGTTTGCCTCAGTTTCCTCATCTGTAAAATGGGGATAATAATAGCACCTACCTCCTAGGGTGGTCAGGATCAAATGAGACAATAATTGTAAAGGGCTTTGCAAACCTTAAAGTGCTATGTAAATGGGAGATATAATAATAGCTAACAATAACCTAACATTTCCATAGTGCTTACTGTGTGCCAGGCACTGTGCTAAGTGCTTTACAATTAGGATTTCATTTGATCTTCACACATACCTGAAAGATAGATGCTATTATTATCCCCATTTTACAGTTGAGGAAACTGAGGCAAACAGGGATGAAGTGACTTACCCAGGGTCACCCAGCTAGAAAGTGTCTGAGGCTGGATTTGAACTTAGATCTTCCTAATTCCAGCTGCCATGATCAAAATAGGCTTCAGGGATTGGTCTAGGAGTTGAGCGAATACAGATTCAAAGAACAGAGGTGAGAAAGGACTGAATTTGAGGAGTGGAGGACTGTGAAAGGCCATGCAAAGGGGATGGAATGGAATGCGACAGAACAGTGAGAAGAGTTAGCTGGACCACCGAGGATGGAAAGCAGAGTGAGGAACTTCTCTCCGGCTGTCCCCATGCCTGGAATGTCCTCCCTCCTCTGCTCGGACTACCGACCTCCCTGGCCTCCTCTGAGTCTTAACTAAAATTGCACCTTCTACCAGGAGCCTTCCCCAACCCCTCTTAATTCCAGGGCCTTCCCTCCATTAATTATCTCCTATTTATTTTCTAGCTAGCTAGCTTGTTTGCTTGTTGTGCTCCACCCCCATTAGACTGCAAGCTCCTTGAGAGCAGGCATTGTCTTTTGTCTCTTTTTGTATCCCCAGCACTAAGCACAGTGCCTGGCACATCGTAGGCACTTAGTAAACGTTTACTGAATTGAATTAATGTATTAATTATAAGGCCAGAAAGGTAGATTGTGAAGGGCATTAAGTGCCAAAGCAAGGCATTTGTACTTGATTCTAGAGGCAACGAGAAGCCCCTATAGTCTCCTGAGCAGAGGAGTGACACGGCCAGACCCATGATTTGGGAAAAACCCAAATAGGGTCACAAAGAGTTGGACGTGACTGAACAATAACAAAAATATGAATGATGATTCAGTGAAGAAGACTGAGAAGGAGCAGCCAGACAGGGAGGAGGAGAGCAGTGTCACAAAAATCTGAGGAGGGAGGAGTACCCAGAAGGAAAGGGTGATCAAGAGTGTTGAATACTGTGGAAAGAGAATGGGGAGTGAGGAAAGACCACCAAATTTGTCAGTGGACAGAGCAATGGTCACTTTGGAAAAAGCCATTTTGTTTGAGTGATAAGGTTAAAAGCTATATTGTGCTGGTGTTTCTGGGTGGTGAGGAGCAAATTTATTGAATGTGTGAAGAACTCAGGAAGATATGAGTTCATATCCAACCTCGGATGGACACAGAAAGGGAGACTTTCTGAGAACAGCAGTGAAAAGGAAGAAAAAAAAAAAGATGATTGTTAAGGAAACGATTGGGCCAAGGGCAAGATCTCTAGGACCAGGGAGAATATTTTTAGGTAGCACAGAAAGAGATAGGAAGAAAGACTGATAAATTGAAGAGAAACTGGGAAGGGGGGAGGGTAGGCCAAGAACAAAAGTTGGGCGAGCAAGGATGAAGCCTGTGGGGTCATTTTCAGAGACCAGAGGAAAAAGAGAGAGGACTTAAGACACAGAAACATCTGAAGTGAAGAGAGAGGAGATGAAGGAGGTCGCATGGGATGATCTCAATTGTCTCATAAAATGTTAAGCCAGTTCATCTGCACAGAGCAAATGGGGTGGAGATGGATTGGGGGGCTGAGAAGAGAGGAGGCAGCTGGGGGGAGTTCATCAGAGAAGAATAAAAAGATTTCCAGGCAGTAAAGAGAACCTGATTGAAGTTAGCATGTATAAATCTTTTTTTTAATTATTATTATTTTAGGTAATTGGGGTTAAGTGACTTGCCTAGGGTCACACAGCTAGTAAGTAAGTGTCAAGTGTCTGGTCTGAGACTAGAGTTGAACTCAGGTCCTCCTGACTCCAGGGCCGGTGCTCTATCCTCTCTGCCACCTAGCTGCCTCTTACATGTATAAATCTTACAGCAATGTGAAAGGGATGGTGGGGTGACCACTACTATTTTGTCCTCCATTCTACTAATGATGGTTTTTCCCTGTATAAATGTTTCTTCTGGGAAGTAATATCCAAGAATCTGTAAATCTCCATCTTTTTGTTAGCTACAAGCCCCCCACCAGAGACAGGGATTCTGGCAAAACACCCATGTTAGACATATTTCTATCTTTACTCTGAGGACGCTCCACCCCACCCCCAACCCCATCATTTGCTTCTCACCAACTGCATTTCCAATAAGTACAACATCAATACGAATGGCCGGCAGGTATCACTATTTATAAAGACAAAGTAAACATTTAAAACAAAGAAAGACAAGCAGCTTCCCCCTCCCCAAGCCCAAAGGAAAAGGCTTCCCGTGAAGGAGCTGAAGGCAGGAATTCAAATCTAAATATCAGATTATCACCTCAGGGTCTACAGTGAGGGGTGAGGGAGTTTCAGCAATACCAGTTCTTCTCTTGTCCAGCTGACCCAAGCCCTGGCCCCCTTTCTGGCGCTTGCCTCTGCTGATGCTTCTGCTCTTTCTGTGACTCCTTACAACTTCCCTGCGGCCAGCTCTGTGTTAATTCTCCTCCTTGAGTCCTCTTCCAGTTCTTTTTCTAGGCCTGAAGAGATTTCCCTAGGCAGACTCAACCTCTTACAGGCAGTCTAACCCCTTCTTGTGGTCCCTTTCCTGTTATTAGAGCCGGGCTTTCAAAGACCGCTCCCTTACAAATGGATGTGTCAGTCTGAAAATCGGTGGGTCTTGGGTGCCAGTGCCCCAGACACACAGCAATGAAGATGATTGAGTTCTGAAAGTTTCCCTGCTATCTTCACTCTGTGGTTCAGATTTTCTGTCCTTTTTTTTTTTTTTAAGGTCCATACTGTCAGGGAAGGGGCTGTTTTTCTTCCTCACTCCACCCACAACAGGCTAATTTCTCAGGCTGTATAACCTTTAATTCTGCTTCAGCCATTAGCTTATTCTGGCTAGCAAAGTCCTCAAGAGTTCCTTCAACTCATCATGGAACTACACATTGCTTTTGCTGGCATGAGCCCAGTTCTGTCCTTCCGGAGAGGATGAGTTGCTGCTTCTGCTGGCCTGGGGGGGAGGGGAGATGACCAGGGCACTGGCCAATGGGCCCTTGTGTTTTGTGGCCTTGCACAGTGCCAATTCAGCAGGTGCTCATATTTTTCTTTCACGTTGTCCTCACTCTCTCTCATTAGATGGAAGTACGGGGAGGCTCCCTGTCATTGCTGGGGCTGCAATCCTGGCTGGTCCCCTTGGCCCAGGCTGCCTAGTGTCTCTTCCCGGTCACTCTGAAAGCCTTTGGGTCAGAAATGGCCCAAGCGTCAGATGGAGCCACAGTCAGCAGGGAATCAGAGCCTATAAGAGAGCTTTTTATAAGACTATGACTAAGAAAGAGAACAGGAATATTGGATAATAGCTTGAAAGTTTGGCAGGTCCAACTGAGGGGAAAATAGCAAACAGAGAAAGACTGAAAACTGTAGGGGGAAGGGAGCAATAGAGGGTGTAATCTGATGGTTGGTCTTGGCAAGGAGAAAATCTGCATCTTCATCAGAGACTCCAGGAGAGAGGGGAGGTAGGGACAGGATAGTAACGTTGACTGATTCTAAGATGTGGAGAAAAGAAAGTTGGTCAAAAGTGGATTTACTTTTTCCACTAAGGTCATGAGAGTCCTTTGTGGGAAAGGCAGGTGTGGGAGGTTTGAGGAAAGAAGAGAAGGTTTGGAATGGCCCAAGGGGTAGATGGAGTCTGAGGGTTGCCTTGCTGCAGTGAAAGCCCAGTTGAGATTAGATTCCATAAATTTGGAGGGTTTGCTCAGTTGCATAATTCTCTCCAATTCTGTTCAATATCACGGGAGTGGGAGAAGAGAAAACCCACGGTGAGAGGAATCCGGGGTTGAGGTTTAGCAAAGCGTGAGGTGTGAAAGGACAATCCGAGAGAGCTTCTTAGAATGTAACATCATAGAAGGTCAGAGCTGAAGGCACCTTAGGTAGAGATAATCTGGGTCTACCTTGTCTCATGTTACAGATGGGGAAACTGAGGCCCAGAGAGGGAAGCTGGTGGGCCCGAGGTCCAGCCCCTGATCTATTGGGTAACCCTTTCTCCCTCTCTGGGCCTCAGTTAGATATGTGAAGTGATGATGTGAGACAAGAGGTCTCCAGTGACCCCCACGGACTCTAAGCCTCTGATCCTGTTTCCCCCCAGGAACAATTCCAGCTTTACTGCACCATGAACTCCACCTTTGAACTGTGCAAGATCTGCGCAGAGCGGGACAAAGACACAAGGCTGAAGCCCTGTGGCCACCTCATGTGCTACCCCTGCCTGGATGGCTGGCAGGTGTGCGAGGCTTTGTTCTGGGAAGGGGGAGGGTCCTCGGGCCTCCATCCTGGTCACCCCTCCTCTGCCTTTCTGTCTGTCTCCCCCTTAGGATCCCTCTGGCTGGACTTCTCCCTGGGCCTTTCTGCCTTTCTCTCTCTGTCCCTTCTCTGCATATCTCCATCCATCTCTGCTTCTTTCAGTGTCTATCTTTCCCACCTCCACCAATCTCTGCCTTCTCTCCTCTTTCTTCCCTCTCCTCTCTCTTTCTCTCTGTCTCCCTCTCCGTCTCTTTCTGTCTGTCTCTCTGTCTTTCTCCCTCCCTCTCTCTCTCCCTCCCTTCCTCCCTCTATTTCTTTCTGGGCCCGGTCTCAGCCTTTCCATCCCTGTCTCTGTTTCAGCTTTTACCTTTCTCTCTCTTCTCTCTCATCTTCTTTCTTTGTTTCTGTCTCATGACCTCAGGTAAGAACTGGACCATGTGACTTGAGTTCTGCTCCAGCTCTGACCTGCTGTGATTCTGCAACTCTGTGCGTGTGTATGTGTGTGTGCACGTGTGTGTGCACGTGCATGTGTGCTTGCGTGTGTGTGTGTGCGCACGTGTGTGTGTGTACGCATGTGTATGTGTACGTGCACGTGTGCATGCGTATGTGTGTGTGACCATCTCAGCCTCCTTCTACCCATGTGTCTCTCTATCATTCTCTCCATCTCAGTCTTTCCATGCCTGTTTCTGCCTCCACACTGTCTCTCATTCCTCCTTTATCTCTTCCTCTCCATCTCTCTGCGTCTATCTCTTCCTATGTATCTTTCTCTATCTTTCTCTCCATCTCAGTGTCTCTCTGTATTTTCTCATGTGCATCTCTCCATCTCTCCCTCCTCTGCCCCCACCCTCCCCATTCCCCTTCCCCATTTGGTTGCAGCCCTGGGGCAGTCAGTTAATAAATATTTGTTAAGCACCCACTATATGTCAGGCCTTATGCTAAGTGCTAGAAGCTGGAGGTTAAGGGGGGAGGTGGTGAGGAGAAAGGAAAAGTGGGCAGACTCTGACTTTGCCTCACCCAACCCCCAGAAATCCCCAGGCCGCACCTGCCCCTTCTGCCGATGTGTGATTCAGGGATGGGAGTCTGTGACCATCCAGCCTTTCCCTGGGGATTCAGGAGACCAGGAAGACAAGGAGACCTCAGTTAAGGTGAGATCTGGGCTGAGGATGAAGGTGGTTAGAACGAAGGAAGTGACGGAGGAGGGGGAGGAGGTAAGAAAAAGATAATTGGGATGGGGAGAGATAAAGGGGAGGGAGATACTTGGAGAAGCAGAGACTGAGAGAGTTGAAGAGTCAGTGAAAGAGAGAAAGGAAGAGATGCTGATTACCTGCAATGCCTCCTCCAGGTATGTCCCAGGAATCCCCCTCTTGGGGCTCCCCCCTTGCCCCCAAGGCCTAACCTGCCCCCTAGGAGAGATGGGGACCGTAAATTGGTGAGTGACTCCATTTCCTACATAGCCAGCCTCCTCTCCCCCACCTTGGCTATCCCCTCCTGCCTCTTGAAGGCCACCACTCTCACAGGCCACCAGATGTGGTGGAAAGGACTGGAGTCCTCAACCTAGCTCTCCTACCTCATGATCTTGGGGTTTTGCCCTTCACAGCCCCAACTGTAAGATTCATGAGCTGTAAGGGCCCTCCCAGCCCTGACAGTCCCTATCCTAAGCCCCCTCCCAGGTCTGACATTCCCTGTTCTAAGGGCCCTCCCAGTTCTGACATTCCCTGTTCTAAAGTCTCTCCAAGCCCTAACATTCCCTGT